CTGAGGAAGTGCAGAGAAGTGGGCAGGGCCACTGCTGTGGGCTCACAGCCTGTGGCAGAGCCTGGACTTTGAAGAGATTTAACTGGGAGGATGATGGGGCCTGATTCATGATTGATATTTCTAAAAGGTCACTCTGCCTGCTGCCTGGAGATTGGACCGGGGACAGGCAGGAGGATGAGGGAAATAGAGCTGCTGCCGCATCTCAGGCAAGAAATGGGTTGCAGCCTGGATCAGGCTGGGGCACCAGAGAGGGTAGTCATTGCTCACAGCCTCTTCACTGGAAATGCTCCTCTGTGGTCACAGCAGGGAGCCTCGGAAAGCTTGTCCTCTTGGGTGCAGATGGCCAGTCCCAGCAGTGTTTTCCAAGTTGTCCTCACCAGGATGTTGTCGTCATGGGCCTCAGTGAGCAGAGGCTGGGCCTCTTCTGGGATGGGGGCCCTGGGGCAGGTGCATACAGGCAGGCAGATTAAAGAAAACCACTTGGTTTTTTGTCCCCAGGCTCCAGGTGCCAGCTCCTTGAGGGCCCCCAGGGGAGCCCAAGTCCTGAGCTCATCTCCTGTTTGAACCCTAGCAGAGCAGACAGTCCTGAGGCTGACTGATGCCTTGTCCTGGTCCCTTGGAGCAGAGCTGTGAGGGGTGCTGCCCAGGGCAGCTGGGCTCCTTCTCAAGTGGGAGACACTTTCTCCCATACAAGGAAGGTGTCCGCTATGAATGCCCACCTGTGTACACAGCTTGGTCGGCTGGGCTGCCGCCCTGGGCTTGGGCAGATCATCCGGGAAGGCAGGAGCTGGAGCTTACTTAGACAGTGGCATCTTTTCAGCTGGCAGCCAGGAGACTGAGCTTTGAATCAGCTTTGTAATTTGAAAATTGGTCTCTTTGCATTGGGTGGTTATTTCCTGCTAACAGAAGCCGTCAGAGACACAGAGCGCTTCCCTCCCTCCATGCTCTGCTCCAGAGCCACCCGTGTGGGGTCCGAGATGGAGCTTTTCATTCTTAGATCGCCGTGTCCTCTTGTTGTGGGCCCCATGGGTTCTGATGGAGCCTCGGACCTGACTGGGGAGTCATCCCAGGGCATGGGGGACAGTCACATAGGGTGGGAAACAGTCATGTGGAGTGGGGGAGGCTGAGCTGGGCCTTGAGGTATAGCCTCGGCAGGGGCCATCCTGCCGGGCCACACATGTCTCTTGTGTGTGTGTGTGCATGTGTGTGTATGTATGTTTGTGTGTGCATATCTCTCTGTGTTGTATGTGTACGTGCATGCGTCTGCGTGTGTGTTTGTGTGTCTGCGTCTGTGTGTGCATGTGTCTGTGTGCATGAATGTGTTTGTGTCTGTGTCTTGTGTGTCCGTGTTTGTCTGTGTCTTATGTGTCTGTGTCTTATGTATCTGTATGTATTTGTATCTGTGTGTGTCTGTGTCTTGGGTGTCTGTGTACCTGTGTGTGTGTCCACACACCTCCCACCCCCATCCTGGTTGCAGGGCTGCAGCTGTGCTCGGGCTCCAGGACTGAGACACTGAAGGTTGTTTTCTTGCCCTCTGGCTGGGGAGGCTGTCATTCCTCTTTTCCCCACGGGCCTGTTCGTGTGTGCTTCTCCAGATGGTGCTCTCCCGAGAGGTCCGAGTGCTCTGGGAACGGTTCACAGTGTAAATAAGGTCACCGAGGCTTGAGTGGCTCCGAAGTCGGCCCACCCAGACCAGCCTTTCCAACTGCCCCTGGGCTCCGTGGGGCCCTGGTTTTGACAGCTTGGGGCCCAGGATGCACCCACGCCAGCCTCCCTGGGTGATGGGTGTCTTCTCCGCCTTGCTGCGCCTTGCCTTCTTTTCCGACATCATCCGTGGACTCTGGGATGGTCGGGTTGGCACATGGCTGGTGCTGTGAGAGAGCTTGGGGGGCTGGGGGACACCTGGGGGCAGTAGGGAGGCAGGCACCGTCGAGGTCTCACGTCAGGACAGAGTGTGGCCTAGCGGGTCCTTGTGTCAGAGGGGTTCACGGTTGCTTCCATGGCCCTGTGGGAAGAGGAGGGGCTGATCCAGGAGCTCCGGAAGAGGCTGGCCAAGCCAGGGGTCTGGCTTCTCACAGATCAAATTGGCAAACAAGGTCACAGCCCCTGCTGGTGAACCTGGTAAACACATGGAACCCGGCCACGTCGGACCCGCTTGGTCCAGGGTGGCACGTCCACCCGCCTCCACCCTGGGGGCCCCGGGGCTGATGCCATACTGGATGGTGCCTAATGAGGGTCACATCAAACACAAAGGGTCTTCTTGGGATCAGAACTGCAGGCCCTTCACCCCGAGGCCGTGAACTGGGCAGGGGGTTCATGGCCCCCTATGAGCGCACACACGGAGCGAGTGGACGCAGTATCTCCAGCCTCACTCCACATCCTCAGCTCTCGTGGGTGATGGGAACCCACACCTGCTGGTTGTCACGGCACCCTTGTGCAGCAGGTGCCTGGATGCATCACGTCCTGTCTTCCAGTCTCTTCCTCTGGGGCCTCATAAGAAAGGCAGAGGCCTGGCCGAGCAGGCTCTCCCTTGCTGTAAGCTTGGGACCCCCCACAGTGACGATGGTGGTGAGCGTGCGAGGGACAGGACCCCTGTCTGGAAGGGGTTGGCTCCTCTGGGTCCTTGACGGAGACGCGGAGCCCGTGTCTGCAGAGCGCAGGCCGTGTGTTGAGGAGAGCTCAGAGGCTGCTCTCCAGGCCGGGAGTGGGGGTGGGGTTCTGATGCCATGGGGACCAGATGGCGCCGGTGCGGGAGCAGCTGCCACGGAGGGGAAGGTGCAGACCAGCTGTCACCTACGCGGACCTGGAGGGCTCCTCTCAGGCCCAGCGGGTGGGTCACGGGCACCTGTACCTCTGTGATAAAATGCCACCCACCCGCCTCTCCTGCCTGCACAGCCATCAGTAACCTGTCGTGATATGCCTTCCTGTTGTGCTCAGAACAGTCTCAGAGCCCTTGAGGTACACAGCGCGTGGGGGTCCCATCAGTCAGGTGGCGTGAAACTGGAAACTTCCACGTGTCACTGGTGTGATGGTGGGAGGACGTAGACTTGGGAAACTGGCAGTAGTGGCAGTCCAGACAGGTAGGGGCTTTGAGGCACTTGAGCAAGCGCATTAGGTCTGCAGGGGCCAGAAAGCCAATTGAGGTTACCTTAAGTGAAGTTACCTAAGGCATAAGGCTGGAGAGCTCAGAGGTGGAGCTGGCATCAGGGGTGGCTGGACACAGGAGCCCAGCGGTTGTCAGAGTCTGTCTCCAGGACGGAGTGTCTCTGGGGTCTGAGGCTAAGCTGGGTCATGTGCTCATCTTTGAACTGGCCCTTGTCGGGGACAAGGTCGGTGGTGAAGGTGAGAGGGCCAGCTGGGAGCAAAAGTAACTTTGAAGGGAAAACCTAGAAGGGTGAGCCCAAGTTGATTGTGGGAAGGAGGGGCACTGGGCAAGGCACCACGTGGTCATCGGGTCCAGCCTGTTCTGAGCAGGGGGACGGGACCCCAGAAGGCGGCCAGCAGCTTCCCTGGAAGAACCCCGTGCGCATGACGCAGAGAAGAGAGTTATTGAAGGAGGCTTGCAAGTGGTGTCCGCGCCCCTGGCCTGTCTCTGGCCACCCTCTCCCGGGCGAATGACGTGGCCTCCAGATGCCAGGCTCTTTGCCCACAATGTCACCCCATTCTCGCAGCACCTCCTCATCCCACGGAGCCTGGCCAGTGGCCAGTCTCAAGGTCACAGGTCATCCCAGGGCCTGGACTGGGTCGGTCTCTTGGTGGACCTTGTAGGCTTCTCTGGGGAGGTGTCAGTGGGCAGACAGGGGAGAACCCACCAGGCCCAGGCCGTGTTGTGGGGACAGTCTTGGATCTTTGTGTTACCTTCAAGCCAGAGCCATGCAGAGGTGTCTATGCTGGATTCCTCTGGGTCCTGCCCAGGTTTTCCGTCCCTCTGTCCCCTCCTGGCCACACCCACTACACACAGCGCCATTTCCCAGATGCCAAATGCTACACAGTGAGTCACCCCGAACAAGTGGCTCTCTGCAGCGCACACTGGGCTGCTCCGGTTTTTGCAGGTCAGGAGTTCAGGAAGGGCTCCCTGGGCTGTTCTGGCTTGGGGTCTTGTCGTGGGGTTGCAGTCAGATGACAGCTGGAGTCGCTGGGGGCTGGACAGGACTCCCCACCTCCACATAGGCTGGTGGGGCTTCCTAACAGCGTGGTGGCCCAGGGCTGGCATTTCAGATTTTCCACTTACCTTAGAAGTCGCCTCTGTGTCACCTCTGCTGAGAAAACAATCACAGAAGGCCAACTTATGTCAGGAAGGCGCATAGATCCTATTGCTCAATTGGGGGGACATCATGGGACCTGCTGTCGTGATTTAAAACTCTCACAGCTGCTGGCTCTCCTATTCAACAACACCCATCCCCAGATGGGTTTGCGGTACCTGGATGTCACCTTGCTTTGGTCCAACCCCTTCATTTAAGATTCTTACTTTTATTTTGGAGCTCAGGTGCAGAGATTTGAGTGAATTATACCCTTCAATTTGCTGTACATTTGTCAGCATTGATTCATGCAGCGGCTCTCATTCATTCATTCTTTTTTTCCTGTCCCCGTATCCTGTTCTCATTTCGTGCCTCACCTTCTGTAGACAACCATTCTATTCTATTCTATTTGTATGTGTGCTTATAAGTATATATTTTAACTGCCATGTGTTGCATAGCATATTTCTCCTTTTCTGCATCCTCCTCTTCTCGCTGTGTTTCTGAGATCCCCAGGTGCTTAATGCATATTTTCCCCTTAAAATGAGGGGAGAGGCATGTCCAGGGTCACACAGCTGACCTGGGCTGAGCTCGGACCAGAGCAGACCCAGGGTCACACTCTGGTGTTTCCATGGGTTGCCTCCCCGAATCCTGCAATGGTTTGAAATGAAATTTTTAAAAAAATGCGAGTCTGGGGCCCAGATCGCATTGCTAGGGCTCCTGGTTCCCCCCCGCAGTGACCACTGTCCCTGTCCTCTCCTGCAGGTCCCAGCTATGGGAGCCCGCGCCCGGCTCACGCCAACATGAACGCCAATGCAGCCGCGGGGCTGGCGCCCGAGCACATCCCCACGCCGGGGGCCGCCCTGTCCTGGCAGGCCGCCATAGACGCGGCCCGGCAGGCCAAGCTGATGGGCAGTGCTGGCAACGCGACCATCTCCACGGTCAGCTCCACGCAGCGGAAGCGACAGCAGTACGGGAAGCCCAAGAAGCAGGGCAGCACGACGGCCACCCGCCCGCCCCGCGCCCTGCTCTGCCTGACCCTAAAGAACCCCATCCGGAGGGCCTGCATCAGCATCGTCGAGTGGAAGTATCCTTTGGGTTTGGCCGTGTGGCCTGCGGCGGGTTGTTCTCAGACCCCTGGGTCGGTCACCGGGCGTGGTTGGAATGCAGAGTTCTAGGCCCTCCCCAGCCTTGAGTCAGCGCCTCTGGGGACGGGGCCTGGGAAGCTGCTTATAGAGCCAGCTCCTCAGGGATTGCTCCGTACACAAAAGCAGTGTTTAAGGAAACAAGACTAAGGGGTTGTTTCTCCTCACTTGATGGGCTGAGCTTGCTCAGGGCTCACTTGGTGAGGGTTGACATGTCACCTCCTCCTGATCTGTGGGCTGGCACAGCCGTGAAGTTGGAAGAGTCCATCAGTGTTCCTTGGGGGGTTGGGACGAAGCACAGGTGTCTGAGCTCTGCCCGGGCCTGGCTGAACTCTCCAGGTGCGGCTGGGTTGGGAACCACCAACCTGGCGGATGACACAGACCCCTGCACAGAACCCGGTGAGCGCAGGCTGCAGAGGATGAGGCTTTGAAGGGCTGGGCTCTCACGGAGCGATCCCACCCAGGAATCATGGGGTGGGGGAGATGGGAAGGCCCCTGAGGGTGAGTGCGTGTGCCCCGGACTTCCCCAGTGAGGACACAGAGCCTGCAGGTTGGCACAGACACGACTAGGACCCTGGACTCAGTGCCAGGCATTTTCCTAGGAAGAAGCCATCTGGGCAGGCCCGCCACGTCTCCTGGGGTTTAGGGCGGGTGTTAGGTTTCATTGACGACTTTCCATGGAAAGATTTACAAGTTTTGGGAGTGGATGAAAGGTATAAGGAGATGACTTGAGACAGAAGGACATTTCTGTTTAGCAAGAAATGTTTGTTCTGTCAAAGCCTGAACCCCTTAAGTCCCAAATCACTTGAGAGGAGGTGGCCTAAGCCCGGCACAGCTGCAGAGCTGGGCAGCGGGTCCCGAGGCCGAGGCGTCCGCTGCCTGGCTCAGAAGCTTGGATCTGTGGGTCCCCATCGGGCTGCTGTCAGCACCGCTTGGTCAGGGCTGTGAAGGGGCAGCTGGGCCATGTGTCCAGGGTGGGGCAGGGGGCTGGGAGGAGCTGAACTCACTCTAACCACACCAGAGATTCAGATCCAGGTGCCCTGAACTCACATCCCCGCTCCCTCTCCCCATGAGTCCTGAGTTTAGGAGAAAGGCACTGGTTGGGGGTGGGGGGTGGTTGGGGGAGGCCACGAGGAGGCCAGCAGCTCAGCGGAGCCCCAGGGGTACTGGACCCGGGTCTGAACTCCCAGCTTACAGTGGGCATCTTCTCTCCACCATGCAACCTTGCTTACTGGCCTGAGTGGTTTCTGAGCTTGAACACAAGGTGACGAAAGGATAGCCTGAATTTGGAGGCTGGGGGCTGTCAGAGCAGGAGACACCTGGACTCAGCTGCCACCCACCTGTGGCGAGGGGACGGGTTGACATTTGAGGCCTGGCTCTTGTCCTGGTTGCCGGGGGGAGTCCCAGGGCAGATGAGGGGGACCAAGATGCCCAGCCTGGGCTGAGTGGGGACAGGGCAAGAGGGAGGAGGCCATGTGGGAGGGGGCCTGAAAGAGCCAATTTCCTAAAAACACTTAGGGTGGGACTTCTCTGGAGGTCCAGTGGTTAAGATCTCACCTTCCAACACACGTGATGCGGGTTCGATCCTTGGTCGGGGAACTAAGATCCCACGTGCCTCCCAGCAAAAAAACAGAACCGTAAAGTAGAAGCAGTATGCAACAAATTCAATAAAGACTTGAAAAAATGGTCCACCAAAAAAGTTCCCATAAAACTTTAACAGCAACAATTGCTTGGGATGATTTCAGAGTGGATCAGTGTAGAAGACTCCTGACAAATTCAGACTTCAGAGCCAGACTTTCTGGTCCAACCCCATCCTACCCCAGCGAGGGTGACTCTAGGCAAGTTGACGCATCCCGTCACCTTCTGTTTCCTCTTGTAGGAGTGGGGTGACAACTGCCCACCATGCTGCGGTTTGAGCAGGGAGGTCAGAGCAGGGCCTGGGGGGCAAGGCTTTGGTCAGCATCAGCGCCCAGCCTTCCTCCCACCAGCATCCCAACTCCCCACGCATCCCTGGCCAGCTCAAAGGCAGCACGGCCTGCTGGAAAAGATGAGTCAGGAGCTCTGGTTCAGACCTGACTCCGCTATTTGCCAGCTCGGCCCTGGGAGACGCTGCTTTGTTTTCTGGGTCTGTCCAGTGGAGAGGCTGGGCGCCTGCTGCAGGTGTTCTCGATAGCAAGGTGCACACAGAAACTGACAGTGTTTAGGGGCATGCTGGGTGAGCGGATGCCCAGCTCCGCCCTCGGGGCCAAGGTGACCCACCTGTAGGCAGCACAGTGTCCAGGGGGCCCTGTACTGGAGGATCACTAATTCCTTCCAGGCCCCAGGCTGCCCTGAGAGCTCAGATCCTGGGACGTCCATGGCAGAGGAGTGGACAGTGGACTCTGCAGGCAGGGGTCTGGGTTCTGGCCTGGCAGGTCAATGCCTGTTGTGGGTCTTGGGAGTTTCTCAGGCTCCCTGGGCCTCAGGGGTTTGGACCAGGCCATCTCCAAGGCCTTTTTCTGCTTCAGGACTTGTGAGCTCTGCAAGCCCAGGCTTCCCTGGAGATGGAAGCAGTCCCTCCCCCCACGAATGGCCGTCCTCTTTCTCATCCTCCTCTGGTGAGGTTCCATGGACTGGGCTGGAAACGGTGGCTGTGTTGGGGAGGAGGGGAAATGGGGCTGGAAGAGCGTGAGCCAGGCCCTTCCTCTGAAGCGCCCCCCACACCCCCACCCCATGGCCTTCCATTGAGGGTGTAGGGCAGAAAGTGTATAGTCACAATTGCTCATTTTTGCATCTGCCTGATATTTTGATGCAGAGATCCGGGCACAGGGACCTCCTTAAGGGTTGGGGAGTGAGGCTTGGCTTAACCCCATGTCCCCCACCCTCCAAACCCCAGCACAACCTGCAGCAAGTCAGGAGACCCTGGGATGCAGGCCGCCCCACCCCCACCCTGAAAGCAGGACCTCAGTAGATGGAAGAGACCCCTGCACCCAGCTGCCATTCCCCACCCGCACAGCTCATGCTGCTCTGCTGCTGGGGTCCAGAGCCCTTAGCCACCTTCAGGCTCTCTGGAAGCTGTCAGAGAATAAGGAGGAAGAAAAGAAAAGACTCTGAACTTCAACTTAAAAGATTGAAAGTATTATCTCCAAATTTTGCTGAAGAGTCAAAGTCAAGTCTCTGCCTTGAGCCCCACAGGGTCTGCCTGTTTCAAGCCAAGCCTTGTCGGGCCCCCAGTGCAGGCAGGCGAGCCCACGGGCAGGGCGGCCCGGGAAGGGGTGGGCGGGGGCGAGTCCCGGCTGGAGCAGGCCCCAATCTTTAAAAGCAACCCCGTGCACACATGAGGGAAAATGAAGTCCAGTGCAATCTAAATAAATAAAAGAAGGGAAAAAAGTTTTAGAAATCTGTGTTTACTCTGGCACGCGACTGGCCTCCACTGCTTTTGACATATTAGGAAAAATTTTGGCGGAGCCCCATTAGAAGCACTTAAAAAGGCATATGTTTCTTTTCAGAACACAAGGGGCTTGGAATGTATTGTTTAAACAAAATTCTTATGAATCTTCATTTAAAAATATATATATATATGTATATATATGTATATATTTGTGTGTGTTTGTTTCACTGGTGCTTCCCGTGGCTTTAATTCCTTAACTCCCTCTCCCCAGGCCATTTGAAATCATTATTTTACTGACTATTTTTGCCAATTGTGTGGCCTTAGCGATCTATATTCCCTTCCCAGAGGACGACTCCAACGCCACGAATTCCAACCTGGTAAGTGCACCGCCGCGTGCCCGCCTCTGCACAATGGCAGTGGGGGCTAAGCTTGGACCACACGGATGCAAGCGGGAACATGCTTGATGTTACAAAAGTCGGCCGAGCTTGGATGTCAAGGTCTCTTTTTTCACATTAGCACCTGTCTTATCTCAACCTGTTGTGAGAAAGACTGTTGCGGTCAGGCGGTTGTGAGCAGGGTGCTTGCGAGTGTGAGTTCTGAGCAGTGGCCCGTGGGTGCTCTTTCCACCCGCATCCTGGAAGGGCAGGTGTCTGCTGGAGCGAGTGTGCCTTCTGGATCCTCTGTCATGTTTGCTCCCAGGGCCGTCATTTTGCTGAGGGGGCTTTGCTGAGGTGATTCGTAGGCTTGGTGCTCGAAAAGTAATTTCTAGGAAGCTTGTAGGAAAGTTTGCTTTTGCAGCCAAGATGGACTATTTAGTTAAGAAGGTTTTATGTTCTTGGGAAAGGCGGCTTTCCCTCTGGATGGTCGGGAGGCCAGTGCTGGCAGTTTGGGGTTAGAACGTGTCCATGGAAAAAGCGTGGAGAGTGTTTACTCTGTGCTGAGCCTGAAGTCATCACAAAGCCGTCTGGGCACAGAGGGGGCTGTGGAATGCAGCTGGCCCGACCAAGCGCCCCGCGATCCTGGGCCGCCCGCCTGCTGGGGGAGGTCTTGCGTCTCCCCTCCCCTGCCAGGACTTCAGAGCTTCTCACGTGACCCCACAAAGCGTCTCCTGGGTCGTTGGCAGCTTCCTGTAGTTAGTGACGGGGGACAGTTGGTGGTTGTTTCTGCAAGAAGCAGGAGAGTACCCAGGCCTCCTTCTCCTGTCGCCAGCCTTTCTTAATATCACGGGGTATCAATTCTTGTGCTTTTTAGTCTGACATTTTCTTGGGCCTCTGTAGCTAGTGTGTCTGATGCCTGTTTGGACTTCACGGCCTTTGCCTGGTTGTCTCAGGGAGCCTGGGCTGTGTGTGGGGTCAGGCTCCAGAGCTGGCTGGCGAGCTGAGCGATGACAGGGCAAGCAGAGCCTCGGCCCAAGTCCACGTGGCCTGCCGAGGTGTGACCTTGTGTCAGCAGGCAGGAACTCTTTGCTGTGTCAAAAGAAACACACCAGGGGTGTCCCAGAGGCCCCCGGAAAAAGCAGGGCCTTCATTGGTGCCACTTCTTCTCTGAGTATCATTTCACGTAACTGCCCCCACCGCCAACCGACCCATCTTCCATGAAACCCTACAGCCTCTCAGTTAATCTGCAGCTTAGAAAAAGACTCCGAGGCCTGTTTGGCAGCCAGTGATGCTTTGGGTCGACTCTGGGCCAAGGCTCAGAGGGGGCTGCTCTCATCTTAGGTCCCAGAGACGGCCCCTCACCCTGAGTCCATGAGGGTGGGGGGTGTACAGGTGGGCGCTCTGGGTGGCTGAGTGCTGCTGGCACCTCCTCATGCTGGGCAAGAGGAGCAAGGCGTCCTAGGATGTCCTCCGGGCTGGAGCAGAGGGACTGTGGTTTTAAGATCACTTCACAGGGTGATGGACAAGCTCTGAAACTAAGCAGTGGTGATGGTCATACAACTGTATGGGGCAGATTTCCTGGTATGTAAGTTATACCTCAGTTAAGCTGCTCTGAGTAAAGGGTGACCCTGCACAAGCTCATGCTAGTCCAGGCTGCACCACCGGTCTGTCTTCCATCTTCCCCCATGAGGGCTAGCCCACGTGGTGGAGGGGAGGTGGTGGGGGGCAGCCAGGACTTGGGGAACCTTACACTAGGAATCGGGGTACACCAGAGAATGTGGGGGCTGAGAGGGGGTTCTAGTTGCTAAGGCAGTTGCTGGCTCTCTAAAGCTCCGGATTGGGCAGTGACTGTAAAGTAGGGAAGTGTGCTCGGATGATGGAGAGTTTTCTCCAGCCTAAACACATATACAGAGACACACACACACATATACACAGATACACACAGACATGTACAGAGACACACAGTCACACAGATACACATACACACAGAGACACAGTATACACAGATACACACAGTCACACATATATCAGACACAGACACACATACATGTACACAGACACATTACTTATATACACAGATATACTCACAGAAACATATACACAGAGACACACAGACACACAGACATACATGTACACATACAGTCACACATATACATCATATACACAGACAGGCACATATACACACAGTCACACTATACACAGATACTCACAGTCACACATATATACAGACACAGACACATATACATGTACACACACAGTCACACAGAAGATACATAGACACATACACAGATGCATGCATACACACAGAGACACACATACATGTACACAGACACACACAGTCACACATATACACACAGTCACACATATACACAGACACACATACATGTACACAGACACTCAGAGACACACACCTATACAGACACACATTTTGAAAATTCCTCTCAGTGGGTGAGGGGGGTCAAGAGATGCCTTCAGCCGGGAGACGGTCAGCTTTAACGGGATGAGGGGTGGTGAGCGAGGAACCTGTGGACAGAGCAGGAAGAGATGCAGTGGGCAGGTGTCAGGCAGGACATGTACTCCAGAGCCATTTCCTGCTGGGGAGGTGGGGGGACTGAAGGAGCCCCAGGCTGGGCTCTGAGCGCCTGGGGCAGGTGCAGGGGAGGAGTGGTGCAGGTGGACAGGAGGAGCGGTGGGGCCACCAAGGAGGTTCTGCCTGAGAGTCGGAGGGGGATGGCGAGCGCCGAGTCTTCTAAGCTCTAGAAACAGAGATTTAAACCCATAGTAGACGGTGGGGGGTGGTTCACACTTACGTGGCTGGCAGCTCCAGGCCTACAGTGTGGAGAGCGGGCTGGGGCGCCAGGCGGAGCGGGGGCTTTGGGTTCGTAGCCTCTGGAACCCTGAAGCAGGGGTGCATGCGGCTTTTTATGCAGCTTTGAGGACCAAAGCCGTCCCCTTGTCCCGCCAGAACATGGCCCCCAAATCACTGACGGGCCCCTGAAAGGAAGCTGGACAACCTCCCGTGACTCTCACGGCTTTTTTAGAACAAGAAACTGCAGTCGCAGAGTTCTGCTCAGAGACGGAGGCGGTACTGCGCCTACAGCAGAGGACCTGGGACCTCAGAGCCTGTGGATCCCCTTGGGTGTGGCGGGGAGCAGCTACAGTGTGAGCCCCCGGGGCCCAGAGTCCATGGGTTTAACTCGCCCCCCTGGCGCCCCTGCTGCTGAGAGTCACCGGCTGCTCTTTGGGAAAAGCGACCCAAATGTTCGCCCTCCTGCAAGTGGGGCCCGGTCAGCTTGCCCTCTCCCCATGGCTCTCTCTAGGGTCCAGACAGAAAGAGAAGACACATCAGCTGCCCAGAGGTGTGTCCTCTGTCGAGTCCAAGAATAACTCACTTAGCCAAGACCCTCACTGTCCAGAAGGAGGGGGTCCCCCTGACACCTGCGGGCCCACAGCCACCCTCCTGCTCTCGACTTCCTTCCTTCCTCCTGCCCGGTTCCTTCTCCCTGCAACCTGCTTGATACAACCCCTGTTTATTTTCCTAGCACTTTGCTTTTTTTCTCCTTCCAGGAGTTGAGAAGTGTTTCAGTATGGAATTTTTTTTTAATGGTCTTTTTCTCATTATTTAAGTAAAAGTCTGTTTGTTTTATGCTCCATCTAACATACGCCGTTGCACCCAAATCCGTCATCTTTGTTATCTTTTCCTGGTGCTAGTGAAGCAGAAGGAAACGTGAACATGGCACTTCTTTCTGCATTTTTCACGGCCTTGTTGCTGGCAGTGCGACCTGCCAGGCAGAGCATCCTGTAGAAATAGTATGTGAACCCCCCCACACCCTTGCTGGTGGCTGCTGCCCTGCAGGTAAATTGGACAAGGTCTCCTGAGCTCTATTGCTGGCAGGGTGGACTCATCGTGTGTGGAAAGCTCCCAGCTTCCAACAGACCCTGAAGTCGGCTCAGATTTGGATTGGGTTGAAATATTAAGGGAATATATTTGGCATCTGACCTTGTGCAGACAACAGAGCTGTGTTGGGCTTTCTGAAGCCAGAACTAGGTGGTTCCAGAGGGGCGAGGGGCAGAGGAGAGGCCAGAGGAGGAGGCATGGGGGCTGGGGCGGGGGGGCTGGGCTCAGCAGAAGGGCCCAAGTGTCGGGGAGAAGGCAGGACTTTCCAGTTTCCCATTTATGCTGTGAGATGGGGTGGCCCCAGCTGGTTGTAGGGATGGTGAGTTCAGGCCTGGGGGCCATCAAGGTGCTGGCAGAGGCCGTGTGTGCTGGTCGGAGAGCTCACAGCCCAAGCCTGGAGCCCCTTTGTCTGGTCCTGGATGCAGGTCCCACAGGGCCCTTTGGGAGAGCTTTTGTGGGCAAGGAGACACACAGGCTCTTGGTTTCTGGAACCCTCACCCACAGAGGATATCTGGGCTGCCCACTCGCAGGTCTCAGCACACAAGGAGAGAGGCAGAGAGGCCTCGTGGCTAAAGAAGGGTCCCTGAGGGGCAGCCGCCCACCACAGCTCACCCTGCAGGGACCATGTTTGTCCCTGCTGGTCAGCTCAGGGGCCAGATCTTGCCTGAGCCTGTGGGGTCCACTTACAGACTGCGCTGGGCTGAGGACACCCCACAGCCTATATTTAGGATGCATCAAGGTGTGTGTTTGGGAAGCAAGCAGAGATGTGGGCTCAGACCCTGGTCCTCCTACAGTGAGCTGGGCCTTCTTGCACCGTCAGGTCTGCTGAAGGGTGAGATGTTTCTATGGGGCCTGAGTGCATCGCAGCAGAGTCGGGGCCGGTGTGTGTGGTCCCCAGGCGTGGGAAACCCACGGACAGGTGATGGCAGGTGGCCCTCATCACCGGTCCTGTCTGTGGGTACTCAAGGTGGTGGTGTGGGTGGGGTGGCTCAGAGCTCAGCCCAGCTCCTAACCAGGGCCTCGGGGAAACATTTCACTGAGGCAACACACCCCCGCCCCCCACCCCAGCCCTGCCCTCGGGTCTGCTGAGTTGGTCTGGGCA